TGCACCCCTTGAGTACGATGGTTTAACCCCTTGAGTACGATGGTAACCCCTTGACCCCTTGAGTACAATGAGCTAACCCCTTGAGTACAATGAGTTAACCCCCTGAGTACGATGAGCTAACCCCTTGAGTACAATGAGTTAACCCCTTGAGTACGATACGCTAGCCCCTTGAGTACGATGAGTTAACCCCTTGAGTACGATGAGTTAACCCTTTGAGTATAATGACAATCTTTAAGTACGATATATTATCCCTTTGAATACGATGACATAACCCTCAAGGGGTTAAATCATCGTACTCAAGGGGTTAAACCATCGTACTCAAGGGGTTAAACCATCGTACTCAAGGGGTTAAACCATCGTACTCAAGGGGTTAAACCATCGTACTCAAGGGGTTAAACCATCGTACTCAAGGGGTTAAACCATCGTACTCAAGGGGTTAAACCATCGTACTCAAGGGGTTAAACCATCGTACTCAAGGGGTTAAAACAAGATCTTCTGAACTGCTGGTGATCACATTGCATAGAAACCTCAATTTAATTAACAAACTATATAGAGATGAAAGTCCGTTATATCGAGTGTCCGTTCGGTGTGAATCCCCCATTTAACGCATTACAAGGAAAGAGAAGTCCCTTATATAGAGGTTTCAATGTAATGAAATCTGTCAGGATGTTGTTGTGTAATTCATTGCGGTGGTGTTAGTAGTGGTGATGGTAGTAGTGGTGATGGTAGTAGTGGTGATGGTAGTAGTGGTGATGGTAGTAGTGGTAATGGTAATAATAGTAGTGGTAATGATGGTGGTAGTAGTAGTAGTAGTAGTAGTGGTGGTAATAATAGTAGTGGTAATGGTGATAGTGGTTGAATGTAATGGTGATGGTGAGTGGTTCAATTGTAGTGGTATTTTGGTGTTATGCGGTGTATTGTGGTAGTGGTGTGGTGGTGTATTGTGGTAGTGGTGTGGTGGTGTATTGTGGTAGTGGTGTGGTGGTGTATTGTGGTAGTGGTGTGGTTGTGTGGTGTGGTGGTGACGTCATCAGTATTGACTTCAGCAGCTGATTGATTCACCGGCCAGGTACTCCGTCAGGCAGGTGCCATGGCCTGTCACCTGCCACTTGCCAGTGTCTAGATCAGGCACCTATTAACGTCACCAGCACCTGTTAACGGCACCAACACCTGTTAACGTCACCAACACCTGTTAACGTCACCTGCACCTGTTAACGTCACCAACACCTACTAACGTCACCAGCACCTGTTAACGTCACCAGCACCTGTTAACGTAACCAACACCTGTTAACGTCACCAGCACCTGTTAACGTCACCAGCACCTGTTAACGTCACCAGCACCTATTAACGTCACCAGCACCTGTTAACTGCACCACCTGATAAACACCTTCATAAAGTAACGACCTCACCACCTACATATTCAATACTTCACTACCGGTGCGTGTTATGTGTCATTGTGTGGCTTAATAACATCAACACCGTAATTAACCAATACTCATACAGTGAGAGCCTTTCTCTATTAATACATATCTAATTAAATTACTTCATCAATAAACCTTACACAAAGTTCACACACCCCAAAGAGTAGAGGGAAGCGTACTCAAAACAGCTCGGCGTCTTGGCTAGTCATTCGTCTCCTCAAACCTTACACACAGTTCACATCCCCCAGAGAGTAGAGGAAGACGTACTCAAAACAGCTTGTCGTCTTGGCTAGTCATTCGTCTCCTCAAACACAAGGACAGGAGAGGAAAAACACCGTGAATGTCTGGACGCTGTGTACTGACTCCAAGGGAATACAACCTCTCAAGTGGGTTATAAGAAAAGCTATAACAGCAAGTCAGGGAGTCTTAAGCCTAACCGATACATAGCTTACCTTTCTATTTCTTGTATATTGCCTTCAGCTTCTGAACCTGCACGGCAGAGTCCTTGAGTATTGCGTGACCTTGTGGCTAGTTTAGGGGATATATCCGACAGGGTGTTGAGGGTCCCTGTATACTAAGCACTCAACACACACACAATAACAAACTGAATATATACTCCCTAACACACACATACATACACCCATACCCACATCCTCACACTCACACCCACACCCACACACCCACATCCATACACCCACATCCAGACACTCTCACCATAAATAAATAGAGAAATGGAAAAAATAAAACAGACCAGTAGTGAAAAACGATATATACAATATGTTGTGTTGTCAAAGTAAGAGAAACAATTGAGACCCTGCAATTGTGTGTAAATGAGGCAGAATGTCAGATCAGCAACCTGGGACTTGGTCACAATTTTCGTGATGCCATATGGCAGCAGGGTCTACCATTAGACAACACATTATGCTTCCAATATCTTCCCAGGCGGTAGTACCTCCCTGATTGATAGCTGCCTACTATCTACTACCTGTCAAAGAATTATTCTAAACATCTGAAAATGATAAAAAAAACGTCTAAATTCGCCAGATAGTCCTTACAAACTTCATCATCATGGGTAGATAACTCTGCCCCCTGGTGTGACTCTTCCGTATATCAGGTGTCGATGTTTACAGAAGACTAGTGTGTACTGTAGACGATACGCTAGCAGGCGGGGAACTGTGACGGCCAATCAGAATAAGACCATTCATTTTGTTGTATATCATAACGTCAAAAGTCTCGTTCTAACTACCTCAGAGAAATACTTAAGAAAATCCAACACCTGAAACAATATAGTCCTTGTGTCAGAGATCACTGCAAGTCTCACCAGTATCTGGCAGTGACATAAACAAACTTTAGTCCATAAACCCTCATAACACATCCAGACCACAGTGGGTTGACTCATAAGCGGTAGCCCTTCGGTACTAATGAACAGGACAGGTCTAGAAGCAGTGGGATCCATTTGACCACACACACACACACACACACACACACACCAAATTCCTACGTTAATACTCATACGATAACTCTTTGTTCTGTTGTACGACCAAAAAGTAACAAAACGTGAATAGGAAGACAAATACGATTATAAACAAATACACTGCGAGATAAATACAAAAGACGAAACAAAATACAATCGCAAACACACTGCGGAAAGCAAACAGGAAGCAAATACACTACAGAATAAAGAGCCAATTAAAGTAAATAGAATGCGGTAAGAACCAGAAAGTAATATACACTGCGGAAGAATGTATAATAACTTAACAAAGATCGATCGAGAATGTCAGGCATCTGCTACTGCAATACACACGCATGCGCACATCACCGACACAACCAAAAGCACAGGGCAGGTTAGGTTAGGTTAGGTCAGTTTACAGGAGTTATAGGGTAGATTATATTAGACGTTAATTTGGATTAGACTATATTAAGTTAGATTAAGTTTTGGCTACATTAAAATGGTAAATCAACTACCAATAAAGCTGTCCATATACCTTTAATTACACGACCAAAAGGAATTCACAAGGTATATCAGATTGACTTACCTTGAAGACCGACACATTCAGGCACACAGCGACCATGGCTTCCCCTACCTGTTGACGCGATAACTCTTTAGGAAAACGAACAGAATCTCCTTGAACTCAATAAGGTCAAAGTTCCTCTTAAGAATTCGGACGAGTTGGGATAAAATAAATATGATATGAGAGTTTGAACCAAGGGATGCATTCTCTCTCTCGGTCTTGTATGTATGTATGTATGTATGTATGTATGTATGCAACACAAGATTGACACGTCATCCTGGGTGTGAGGAATATTTCTCATTAATTAATTCGGAATGTTCTTTTTTGTAGTTTGTGTGTGTGTGTAATAATAATAATAATAATAATTAACGGTTTATTGAAAGAGCTTGGCAGCCAGAAGGCTGAAAATATACAGTTACATATTTGGGGAATGGGTTACGAATTACAAATAATATACAAGTAACATAAGTGACACAAATAAGACATATAATAACTAGATGGGGATCAGCTCAAACTACAGTTCATTTCAACATAGTGACAGTGTAAGGAGCAGTGTTTACTGGGAGTGAATACACTGATTTATTACAAGTTATTGATAATTTTTACAATGGTTGGGACTGGGCTGTTCTTATAGCGATCAGTTCGTGCACGTATGGGCTGGATGCGGTTGTGGTGTCGAACAGCAATTCTCGGACAAGGGATCTCAGGTGGTAGTAGGTGTGTGTGTGTGTGTGTGTGTGATTATGTATATGTATAAGTGCGTGTGCCAGTGTACAGTATATACTTGTGTGTGTTTTTTTATGTGTAGACGCAATGCAACACCTGTAGGACTGCATACCTCTTGAATGTATGATGAGGATAACAATGGACTGAGGTGTAGGTTAAGTGTACCCGAGCTTAAATAATTTACACCCAGATACCATTACGTTAAACCCTGTCTTGTGAACTATGAAAACTACGGTATATCTAAAGTCTTTGTAAACTTTGTAAACAGATACCAAAAACAAAAAACAAAAATAATATAATTAAAAAGAAATATGTCATTTAAAAATTACACTTTTATCTTGATTTACGAAGGTCAATTTTGTTTTTTCATTCTGCGACAATCTCAAAATATCTGGAATATGTTTAAGAACGGCAATGCGGTGTTTGGTGACGTCACGAGCGTTCCTGGTTACCTTGCGCCAGAGTAAACAATCACAGAGTATTCATCGAGGGAGCAAGTAAACACATTGAGCGAACACTACGTCCCCTCAAGTGCCTAGCGAACACATTCACCTCCCTTACTTAATGGAACTGAAACACTTTATTTAGATAGAACAATAAAAACCATAACGTTAACAACAAGAACAAGATAGTACTGTAGCTCTCTTGTAAGGTACCTCATAAGTACGCATTCATTCACCAACCCTTACCTACACACACACACACACACATGCACACACTGGTAGACACATAATGTCAACCAGTAAGGGAATGTTTTCAGCGCCATTAAGTAATACCCGGCGGCTGTAACTCTAGTGTCGTGTTTCTTTTTCGACTAACCATAACTTTCTCTCCTCCACAGATGAAGGAGGGAACACACGACAGCCAGAGGGTCACCGGTGTCCACTCTGACGAATAAGTCGAGATAAAAGGAGATAAAAGTATATGGCAGACGCACGGGGCAAAGGGGACCATCAGGCGGCTCCTACGATACATCTGTTTCCAGCTGTCAGGCAGAGGATGGAGCAAACGAAGGAACAAGCGCCGTGGCCTAAGATAAGGAACAACAGAGTTGGAGTAGACGATGCAACGGCGAGCGTCGACATAGGTAACGAGGTGGATGACGTAACGAATAAATCTCCAGTAACGAGGTCCCTCTCTGCCAAGCTGAGAGCCTCCAGCGGGTTGAGTCAATTCCGTGAGGTTGACTTCAGCGACCAGGTGCAGGGCGTGTGTGTCACCGCCAAGGCCAGACCTCATTACGACGTCCCAGAGTCACTGAAGAATTGTGACGTGACGAGTAGACGAGCAAGCGAGAACGAAAGCGGAAGACACTCGCGAACCGAGAGTGAGGAGAACCGGAGTGTTTTGCCCAGTGATGACGCCAGTCAGAGAACCAGTGGTGCAGGTGCAGACGATGGGGCAGCGAGTGAAGGAGGAAGAGTGGTTGTCATAAGACAATCAGCGCAACCAAGCGAAAATGGGCAGTGCGGCAGTCACAATGAAAGAGAGAGAATGGGGGAGGAGGTACGAGGGGGAATTCTTGTCGGTAAGGAAGGTGGTGCAGAAAACGCTATATATGTCGTCGCAGAAGAGAGCTCTCTTGTCGCTGGGGTGGGTGGTATAGGTGCACATACGATGGCAGGCGTCGTGTCCAGTAATTTCAGAAGAGTTCCTAAAACTCTGCCACTAAAGGACTCTCAGCGGTTCTCCTCGGGAGCAAGCACGAGTAAAGACTGCGGCCACACCTCCCCCACTAGCTCGGCCACTGTGGGCACCGAACTCTCCTTTGGTTTCATGCATGATGAAACGACGAATATTACTGAGGAAGAGAAGACCGCGAGACCTCGTCATATCCCCCCGCCAGAGGAGCAGGAGAAGCCAAGTCTAACACCCACGTCACTGGCCATCTACTCGTCTATCCAGAAGAACGGCCTCCGCTCAGGGACGTGTATCCTCTTTACAACGGGGATTTTCACCTTCATCATCACCCTGATACTCACAATAGCCATCCTCGTCATGCCCAAGACCCTGGTTGTCAAGAAGGAGGAGCAGAGGAGCCGCGACGTCCCCGCTGTCACCCACAGCCCCAGCAACATGGGTAAAGTGGTGTCTGTCGGGGCCCTACACGCTCCTCACACCGTCACCAGGCTCCTCATCAAGGCCCTCCTCGCCCCCCCGTCCACACCTGTCACTCTCACAGACCTTACGGCCTCTCCACCCTTCCTCCCTGCCATATCCTCCCCATCTAACACATCCTTAACCTTTAATACAGTTTCCCCATCCACCACATTCTCCCCACCTAACACAGCCTCCCCCTCTAACGTCTCCCCATCTAACACACCCTCCCCATCTTCCCCATATAATACATCCTCCCCATTAAACACATCCTCCCCATCTAACACATCCTTCCCATCTAACACACCCTCCCCATCTTCCCCATATAATACATCCTCCCCATATAACACATCCTCCCCATCTAACACACCCCCCCATCTTCCGCATATAATACATCCTCCCCATATAGCACATCCTCCCCATACAACACATCCTCCCCATCTAACACACCCTCCCCATCTTCCCATATAATACATCCTCCCCATATAACACATCCTCCCCATTAAACATCCTCCTCATCTAACACACCTCCCCATCTTCCCATAATACATCCTCCCCATATAACACATCCTCCCCATCTAACACACCATCCTCATCTAACACACCCTCCCCATCCTCCCCATATAACACATCCTCCCCATATAACACATCATCCATCCTCCATCTGACACACCATCCTCATCTAACTCATCCTTCACATTCAATACTTCCTCCCCATCCTCGACATTCCCCCCACTCACCACCTCCTCCTCCCTTCCCACCAGCCAGCGTGACCCTCAGACCACAACAAAACAGCCACAGGAGACACTCACCACCCGGTAGCTGCTGCGTCAGGCGGTTCCTCTACCAACTAACTCGCTCTTCATGCCTCTCATCTCCCGCACACATCAACACTAGTTAAACCAAATGGCAATGATTGTGCTTAAACTAAATGGCAACGATTGTGCTTAAACCAAATGGCAACGATTGTGCTTAAACCAAATGGCAACGATTGTGCTTAAACCAAATGGCAATGATTGTGCTTAAACAAAATGGCAACGATTATGCTTAAACCAAATGGCAATGATTGTGATGCAGTGTTTGGTTTAACCGTTTGTTTTTATCTCTCTAAGTCTGATGTTGTTCTAAAGACAGAAGTATTTATAAAGTGGTATATTTAGGCGTAAGTGAATGCTGAATATTCAATGACAGTGTGGAGGAACTTAATATATTGATGATACTGATGTAGTGTTGTAAATGTGGTAAGGACTCGTCTGGTGGCTTGAGGAGCTGCAACATTGACCACACAGCGAACAATCAAAGTTTTGTAGAAAATAACAGGAAAATAAATAGCAATATGTCCATGAGGATGTCATTGTGATTTTCAGCATCAAAAGACACTATAGAACTGAACTATGAGGATGTCATTGTGATTTTCAGCATCAAAAGACACTATAGTACTGAACTGTGTGTGTGTGTGTGTGTGTGTGTGTGTGTGTGTGTGTGTGTGTGTGTGTGTGTGTTTACATTGGTTTCACTAATTAATAAAGCAGTATTCTTACCTGTATAAACCCTCCCTTCTCTGTACCTGTGAATCAGTGCCTCATCTTACAAATAGTTTCCATTAGTGTTACCTGTCAAAGACGCTAAATAATATAGAAATAAAGGACGGTCATCTGTCACGCCAAAGACAGACAGGCGGTGAAGTGTCTGTGAGAAGTGAAATGAAGTGTGATGGGTGGTTGAAGCCGTGTCACGCTGCCTGCCTCCAGAGTCGTGTAGCGGCGACGGACATGTAACACAGTGCGGGGAATGGTCAGATGTTTCCAAGATTCTAAATATAACCTAACCTAACCTAACCCAACCTAACCTAACCTAAACTAAACTAAACTAAACTAACCTAACCTAACCTAGCCTAACATATTAAGAGTGAAACCGAATCCAAATGAGTCACAATTCCAATAGTTTGTTTATATTTGGATCTATTTACCAATCGCCACTGAGAATGACCTTAATATTGTTCTATTGTTTACATTTCTATCAGCTTCAAGAGCCTATAATTACCCCCGTGTGGACGCCATTATCCAACGCTGTAAATATCTTTATAAAGGGTGTCCTAGAAAAATGTCCCTGCCTCCCTCCCTTCTTGCCCCACTCCTTCCCTCCCTCCTTGCCCACTCCTTCCCTCCCTCCAACTCACAGTGTCTCAGGGAGCAGGCAGGGAGGAAGGCAGGGAGGGAGGGAGGTAGGGAGGGAGGGAAGCAGGGGACATTTTTTCTATGACACCCTATATAGGACAGACCTGAGTGCTCCTGCCATAAGTCTGTTTTCTCCCCTGAACTTCGACTCTCACTTAAACACACGATAGATGTCACCAACTTGTAAAAAAAATATTTCGACCAGGATAAAAAATTAAAATCTTGATATCGTAAGGTTAGTTGTTTTTAAGACATTTTCTACCATTTTGATGTTGTTACTGAAATCACGAATGTACTGTAATAGTGAAGTGTTTTGCTTAATGTATATACTGTAATATACACTGTAATTTATCCAAGTTCAGGGCATGAATTTTGTTATGTATACTCTCCGTTTGAATTATATGTACATTTATTCACATATTTCTTCTTATACCACATAAACTGAAGCATAATTGAAATAAAAATAAATATTCTTGCTTTAAATATATACAAGTTTGTTCCATGGTTGAATGTTCATAATTTTATACCATTTACCGTATAATTTTTCCCGACTTTGTTAGGTTACACGTACTTATGTGTGTGTGTGTGTGTGTGTGTGTGTGACGGCCATACCTCTTGATTCTAAAAGGTTCTTATATCAAACTCGTTAACTAGAAATATGATGACCCATTTAACTGGTTCAAATTGACCTAAGATATACTATTGGTTTGTCAAAATGGCACTAACATTTCGCCGAGACTACCATAGCTGGATGAGGTATCGTAACTCCAGCCTGAAGCAGAAATTTTCACGTAAGAATAATCTGAGAATCTGGTTTTTATTCTTGTACGTGTAAACTGTATGAATAAAGATTTTCTAAAGCGTTCGTGTTTGTTTAGATTTTGAAACCTTCCCCTTTGAATTTTTACTCAAAACATTATAAACTAGTTTGAAGTTTAATTGTATCCTCTCCTATTACCGTATTTAAATTCTCAACCTTGTCTCTATAAAAAAGAAAATAATTGACTGAACTTTCACAATAACACTTTAAACATTAACAGAATACAGAAAAATTTGCTCAGTATTTGCACAGTACAATGATTTAGAATCCCCTATAAATCGCTCGCTGTTCTTGTTCTTGGACTATATCGACAGCGCTCTACAATATATAAAGTTTCTAAATATAAATTACTCTCGAAATGTTTCCAGAAAGTATTTATTTTGCATGTCAACGGCTACAAAAATATCAAGGGGAATATATTTATGAAGTAATCAAGTAAGTAATGTGGAATTTTATTGTTTAATATTGTTATTGATCTTACTTTTATATTTGTCTCTTGTTTCACTTTTGTTTTCAGTGATTTTTCTTTTTTCTCACTCCCGTGTAGTTGGAAATAGAGTTTTGGTGTGTATGAAGAAACCGATAGCAGGAGCACCAACTGATCGCGTGAGGGAACACCGGACCTCTGGCAACACCCTGGCAAGGCCCCACAGATGGTGACGTAGATAAGAGCATACGATATTATAGCTCGGGTACGTGTCGTGTTGTCGTGCTGCCAGTCCCACTGTCCTGTAATTAGCATCAATA